AGTCTCCATCGGTCTGGGTCCAATTTTCTGCTGTCTGGATTAATACGAAGCACAGGGCTCTCCCCCAGACTCCAGGCCCCTTAAAAGAAAACGGATTTTTGGTTTTGTTCCCCCCGATGTATTTTTTTGACGTAAAAGTGAGTTCACTGATCTGGTGGATGTTGGTAGCTGATCTTGTAGCTGTCATCTATTTTTTGGGGTGCTCAAGAGCTAGTTTTCAGTACTGCCTTCTGATATTAATTTGAAAATATATGTGATAGCTTTATCTATCATCTACTAGCTGTGTTGTGCATGCATACTGAAAATACAAAGTCCGATGTATTTTTTTGACGTAAAAGTGAGTTCACTGATCTGGTGGATGTTGGTAGCTGATCTTGTAGCTGTCATCTATTTTTTGGGGTGCTCAAGAGCTAGTTTTCAGTACTGCCTTCTGATATTAATTTGAAAATATATGTGATAGCTTTATCTATCATCTACTAGCTGTGTTGTGCATGCATACTGAAAATACAAAGTTTCGTCTTTATTGAATTTGATGTAAGAGATGGCTATTTCTAGAAGCACATCTTCTGATCCAGTAAATATTGTTCTTGCACTTACCTCTTTTTGTGGAGAAAATGTTCAACAAAACGGTGTTTGTAATGTGGCAGGGCCTATTCTTAGGCTGTATAGATGGTTTCTAGCTGTGAACAGCTTTATGTCATTTAGCAAAATCTGCTCCTGAAAGACTTAAAGAACAAAACTTGTACAGCTCTTCCGTGTCTTTGCATTAATCCTTTCAACTGTAAATACACAAATGCAGAACCCAGTGTGACTTGGGGGCTGGGCAGCTGCTTAGGGTGTTTACCATTTGGAGGAGTATTTATAGTAGCTGAATTAAAAAGTAAAGAATTTGAGGCAGACACACACAGTGAGATTTTTTTTTACTTGAGTTGTGCTTGCTTGACAACCCCATATTTTTAATGACTTTAAAGTAGTAAACCAATCTTGTTATCGAATTGAACTGGCTTTTAAGGGAAAATCTTATGCCTCATTCCGTTAGCGGACAAAATTGGCTTTAGTCATCTCTGGGCAGAAGAGGTGTTTTGATTATTCTGTGAAAATGTAATATGTTCTATGCCTAGAAAAATGAGAAATGTAGTATGATACAAGTTACAGCTCTAATAATATTAGTCTAATTAGATGAGGGAGAAGTATGTGAATAAGAAGATTCTAAGTGTCTCTCTGCAGTTCTTGGGATACAGTGTATGCCTCCTTCATTTCTCTTGAACTTGGTAAGGGGGATGCAAATTTGAGATCTGAAATGCTGTCCAAAAAATAATACTATCCTGAAAGAGATCGTGGTAATAGTTGCCTGAATCTAATACAGAGGTGTGTGAAAATTCTAGTTATCCTGTTATTTTTGTGATAGCTTTGTGTCTTCTGATTTATATTTTTGTGTGATTGAATCTTTCACTGCAAACCTTTCGTACTGGATACTGGTTTGTACTGCTCTCGTCCAGCTTCTTATTTAGTCTCGTTCATGTATGTGTAATGATCTCACAAGAAAATTTACTTCACCCAAAAGTTCAGAGTGGTGACTAAAGGAGGATCCTTCATCTGGAGGAGAGGTCATTGAAATACAGACTTCTGTAAAAACTGAGTGATGAGCTTGCATACAGCCATTGTGTACTTTTGGGGTTTACAGTTCTTATTTGTAATAGCTGGCTGCAGTCAGCTTTTTCACTGTGATGAGAGTTAAATGTCTTTGCATGCGTGTTTCAGTCGCTTAAGTTGACTCTTTCACGTTCGCTAAAGGGAATTCAAAGGTCAATGTAAACTGTGAATTTTCACTACAGTGGAGAAATAGGTTTTGTCCATGTTTTTGCTCATTTGGTGTGGGGCCTGTGGAATGTCTTGGGGAAGAGTTGTGCTCTGATGCTTCATACCTTTAGATTAGTGCATAACATGCTAGTTTATCCATAGATTCATAGCTCTGTTGCTTCTTAGCAGCTTTTGTCCACAGAAATCTTCTCCCTCTTTTTTTTTTTCCTTGTGTTTACTGAGTAAGCAACAAACTCAAATGAAAACTTGATTTGGTTTCTTTTTTAAAAAAAAAAGCTTTGATTCTGTAGGGTTTCAGTTTTCTGTGGTAGGTGGCAGTTTATCTAAACAGCTTTCTCATGAAAACACAAAGTGGTACTGGAAAGCTTTAGGAGAGAATTATTATCTAGTTACTGCTGTGGAGAGTTGTCTTTGTTGTGTTAGCTTCACAAATATTATCTATATACAATCAGTGTTTTGCAAACCCGGTTTTAAGAAGTCCAGAGAATGGCTCTGCAATTATTATACATGCTGTGCAGGGTGCGTATGGCCTGTGTGGAACAGGCACACAGCTTCTGTACGTATAATTGAGAAGTTTATTTATTTTGATACAAAGCTAAAGGTGCTTCAGGTATTGCTAGTCCTTGAATTGCCTTTCGGAAGAAAAATTGCCCAGAAATTCTAATTCTGCCGCCCTCCACCCTACTGCTACTCTGAAGGTCTGTGCAAGCACTTATTAATTAAATTGAGACAGCACCCATATAAAGCTATTGATAGGAGGACTAAAACTTGCATTAAATGATGCTGCTATTCATCAAAATGAAGTTGCTGTTTTAATTGTACAAACTGGGACCTTTCCTGAAATGCCTAGCTGTATCTGAAGAGTTTAAAATTGGAAATACCATATCACTGACTTGGAGGTAGAGTTTCTTGGAAAACAGAACTGGGAATTGGAATGCCAAATAGATCTGTAAAACAGTCTTTCCTAGCATGTATCAAATCTACAGTATTAAGGTAGAAGAGACACACCTAGGACTGATGTATAATTCCTTTTAAAGTGATACTTAGTGTGTGTATTTTTTTCCTTCTCCAGTATGAAGTGGAACAGAACAGAATTTACCACCTGAAACTGCTGCTTCAAGTTCAGATCAGGAAAAGATTATACCACATTGTAACAACAACTCAAGACCAAAGAAGAGGAAACTTACACTGAAGATACAAGGCTTGATCTGAAACAAGAAGTTTGTGCCTACTCAACAGCTTCAAAAGAGCACGTCCCAACGCTGCTAGTAGTCTTTGTTTTCTCCAGTGCTGTATTGAAACTGCCCAGGGCAGCAGCACTTGTATTCTCTATTAGCTTGATAGATCACATTCTCTTGCTATCTTTTTTCTTTCTTTCTTTCTTTCTCTCTCTCTTTCTTCCTTTTTTTTGTTTTTTTAATAACAGTCTTCATCCTTAGAAACTTGTGCTGAAACAGAAGAATCGGCTAATACTACTGAAAGTGCAATATTTGAATATCACTGCGAGGTTGGTGCATGTGTTATATAAAGAGTTTTTTATATATGTATATAAACAATAGGAAACAAGTTGTCAACACAAGGGTGTGGGTTTTGTTAGGGGTTTTTTTAGCAGTTCTTTGCTGCTGTGTTGGTTTAGTAGTAGTATGATGAATTAGTAGTACCTGCATTATGGTTCTATTTAACAATCCTTGTAACCTTAGAGAGCTGTTTATTAATGTTTCTCCCTTCTAGTAACAGTAGTGTTGGGGTTCCAATCTTTTTTTTTTTTTAAATAACCTCTGTTTAATCTTCTTTAAATCTTATTGCACAGGTGTGAGGGTTTTTTCTTCCTCTGAGTACTTGTATTGGTGGGGTTCATAGTTCTTGTAAACTGACAGGTCAACTGTTGGGAGTGAACTGTTGGCAGTGGACAGCACAGCCAGGTAGTCATCACTGTCCAGTATATAACCGTTGTATCGTAGGGCCAAGCAAGCCTTGTTTGTACATTAATAGGTTGTAGCCTATTACTAGAAGTTTCTCAACGGTTTTGTGACAGTAGTCCTGGTGATATGTATAAATGGACATGGTCTTTAATTTTTGTTACGCTGTGTTATAACGTTATGTTTGAATGGGTGTAGGAATACGGCAAACATCTGGAAAGACTGCCAATATTATCATGTATCTTTCTCTCTACAGCAAACTAAAGTGCCATCCTGAGGAGTGTATCTTTGTTCGAACTTGAGTTGTCAGGCTTTAGATGATTGGTGATGACTACTTTGTGCTATATTACTAATACTTCTTTAAACCCAAATTGTTCAAATGGTGTCATGTAGTGGTAGTCTTTGAGCAAGAGATTACAGCAGTGTGGTTGTCTGATCCTAAAATAGGCTTTTCTGAACTTGATTTTTAGGTAGATTTTTGTCATTTTCTATATCTGATGTACCTTTAGTAGTAGTTTGTTACTTAACGCCTGTGGCAGGAGTGTATGTGTGTTTGTGTACTTACCTTGTATCAGAGATGTGAAGCCATTTTGTAAATGACTCACAAAAAGCATTTGTCACACTGATTTGAGCTTTTGAAATAGCTTAATGTTCTTGCCTGTTATTCTCCTGGGGAAATATATCATTTTCCTTTCCCCTAGCCACCCTACCTGCAGGACAAATGTATCTTTGAAAAGTATTTCTAACTCTGGGGTGGTTTAAAGTCAAACACTTTAGCTGTTGCCTTCTCACAAGGACATCTTCTTGTGTGTGGAATGTCCTAGGAGTTGCCCTCCTCAAAAGATGAGGGTTCATGTATTGGATAACTTTTAGACTGATTTCCAAACAGCATGATAAGACATGCTGTAACTATACCTTTTAATACGTTGAGTAACTCAGTATCTGTATTAGAGTAAGAAGCATGACAATTTTACAAGTTGCTCAGGTATCTTTTATCTCCACTGAAGATATTGCTGACTAATTTTGAATTTCTTCTGCTTGATACAACAAGAAAGCAGAGAACAGATACAGTCTCATTCTGTTTCCACAATAAATATTCTGGAAACTGCAGCAAATAAACTCCAATACTGTATTTTAAGATGCACATTGACTGGAGAGGGGTGGAGGGTTGCTTCAGTAGCCTTTATTGAATTAAAATGGTTGAGGTGTAATACACTTCAACTGATTTAATTGCTAACCTGTAAATGGAAATGGCTTGCTTTAAAAATGTGACTTGCACATCAGAGAGCCAGTGAGTTAGTAAAGGGACTTGTGAATATTACAAGATTGAGTTGGTGCCTTGAAAAGAAAAACTGCCCCCTCCACAAAAAAAATTTAAAAACCTAAAAAATTTTCATGAGTGTAAGTTAATTTTTGAGTTCATTACAGCTTTAACTTTTCTAATTTAATGCTGTTTTCAAGTTTTCTCAGTGTATCTAGCACTTGAGCTCCTATGCCACAGAAATTTTAGTTTAATTCTTGGTATTAATTCAATAACTGCAAAAATGTTTAAATATTTAAAACTGTTTTTTTTGTAAGAAAGACTGAACAGACAAACTAGGGACAAACTTTGCACAGATGTGAACCTAATTCTGTTGGTTCATAACTGTTGCATTTTCCTAATTACCTGTTTAATTTGGAAGAGCCAATACTTTAGATATTTTCAGGCTCTGATGTGAAATAGTGAATACTATTGAGATATAATGCTTAAGAAAGTCAGAAGTTTGTTTTGGTCTAAGCAAGCCTTATTTCAGGGCTGTATTTCTGGCCTATTTTATAAATATGTTGCCTGTCTAAATTTTAAGGATTATTGTTTTACAAAAGTTTAACTACTTTGATGTTCTTACTCTGTTTTAAAAATGGTTAGAATTTGCTGCTTACAATAACTTCCACAAGCTTTTTGTGTGTGTTATTCTGATATGCAGGCATGGGTAAAGGAAACTTATTTTAAGTAGAGTTGTTTTTTGGTTTTTTTTTTTTCCTCTGCTCTTTATTTTAAACAGATGAGCTTTGATCCAAACCTGCTCCACAACAATGGACACAACGGGTACCCCAATGGTACTTCGGCAGCGCTGCGTGAGACTGGGGTTATAGAAAAACTGCTGACCTCTTACGGATTCATTCAGTGTTCAGAACGGCAAGCTAGACTGTTCTTCCACTGTTCACAGTATAATGGCAACTTACAGGAGCTCAAAGTAGGAGGTAATTAGGCAACTTTGAGAGCTTCTTGACTGAAGATCAGTCTTTTTCACTTGCCATAGAAAATCCTTTTATCTTGCGGCTTAAATGGATGCATGCTGTTGCTTCTCATGGGCTAAAGAGACAATCGAATTAGTAATCTACCACTCCTGACGAGAGAGACCTTTACCTTTTGTGCAGCTTCTATTAATGCAGTTGTGGCCATTCTGGAAAAGGTGCAGTGTTAGGTCAGACGTATAACTGAGGTGGAAGCAAGTGCTTAGACTGGAAGAATATATCTCATATACTCGGCGTTTCTTTTTTTAGAATTAGTTTGAAGATGACCAATTGTTTTTCAGAATGGGGAGGCTGCTACTTCATGCTACTAATTAATGTACTAGCGAAGTTTCTAAACTTCTTAATGGCAACTGTTTTATGTTGTCTGAACTTCAGTGTGAAGTCTGCTGTATAGTGAGTGGGGCAGGGGGAGGGAATTGTTACAGGACAAGCCATTGCAGTAGAATAGTTCATTAGCAACAGGAGTGAATAAGCCAAATAACCAGAGAAATATTTGTAAATAGGTACTTTTCTTAGCAAGGAAGGACACTGAATTTTACTTTGTGTTTGGCTGCAAGCAGTGTATTGTCAAATGAATTATCATTTAGTGATGAAAAACAAACAACAAACCAACCCAAACAAAACTCTGTGATGCCATTATCATATTTGATGTCTCGTAGACGATGTTGAGTTTGAAGTGTCTTCTGATCGCCGAACTGGAAAACCCATTGCTATTAAATTGGTGAAGATAAAACCAGAAATATTACCTGAAGAACGAATAAATGGACAAGTTAGTGCCTGTTTTCTATACATGTATAATTTCCATCTTTCACTCCAGAACAAGCGGCTAGATTCATTTAGCATGCATATATTAACTACATACAGTATTCAGTTACACTGAAATATATTTTTGTTGCTCTGGTAAAAATTCAGAGGTTCCGTTTGAGCTCCTTCTTAGCTCCAAACAGTTCTTAGAGTCAACAGGTGTTCTGTAAGATTGAAACTTTGCAGCATGGCATTCCCTGTTGAGTTACACCAAAAGTGCATTCCCTGACTGTATAGTAAAGGATCCTGAGATTCATTTTGTATTCAGTGCTGCTCCTGAAATGACTAGCAATGGATTTTTTTTTTTTGACTGGTAGGTTGTGTGTGCTGTTCCTCACAATTTAGAGAGTAAATCTCCAGCTGCCCCGGGTCAGAGTCCAACAGGGAGTGTATGCTACGAACGTAATGGGGTAAAGCTTACATATTTTACTTGAACTCTTCACTGATCCATCATTATGGTCTATGAGAAAAAAAAAATACACAATTTAATGTAGACAATTGACACTGGTAAGAATTGTAGTTCTTGGCAAAATAAAAAAGCAGCATGCTTTGGTGATTACTACAAACAGAAATGTTAATTTGACAGTTTGCTTATATTTATGGAGAACTTCACGTAGAGCCAAATAGGTGTTTTTCTCTTTTAAAACGTGTAAAATTTAAAAATTGACATTTAAAGATGGCCATGTACACAACTTAAGTTGAAAGTTGCTTGTTAGACTCATCAAAACAGCATGATGGAAAAAAGAATGTTTTTGCATGCTGCATTTGACTGTTTTCAATTTTCTCACTAAATTAATTTCTTTAATAGCAGATATTGTCATTAAACAAAACTGTGTTAATCCTTCTTTGAAAGTATTCTGCACATAGACTAATATTAGTCATTGTTAATTTACAGGAAGTATTTTACCTGACTTACACCCCAGAAGATGTTGAAGGAAATGTACAGCTGGAAACAGGAGATAAAATAAACTTTGTAATTGATACAAATAAACAGTAAGTTGGTATTGCTTTTCTGACTCCATACTTTGTTTTAGTAATCGGGCAGCAATTCATGCCTGTTTCAATAACTGGAAAGACGTTATGAAATATAATTTAATTTTTGCTCCAGGTTTGAATTGTTTCAGGTTTGCTCTGTTTACTTTTTTCCCCCTCTAGTACTGGTGCTGTAAGTGCTCGTAACATTATGCTATTAAAAAAGAAACAAGCCCGCTGTCAAGGAGTAGTCTGTGCCATGAAAGTAAGTGATGCTTTAGCTTTAAAGTTTCATTTGAAAATTAAATGCTGTTCTGAAAAGTGGTGTTGTAAGTAATATATTTAGGGCATTAAGAGCTACTAACAGTTCGGCACTGTGGGCGTAAACTGGGTGAAACGGTTTAAACAGCTAATCTTTGATATTAATAGTCATCTTAACAAAATTTATTTCCGATTGTATATTGTGGTAGTCTGTTAATTGTGTGCACTCATAAGTCTGCCATAGTAGTATGTCACAGTCTTTCACTGTGTTTGCTAGAACCTGTAAAATTTTGTCTTTGTATGTTAAGAGAATAGGCAATTTATTAAACACTTTGTTCTGTTCTTAGGAAGCCTTTGGATTTATTGAGAGGGGTGATGTCGTGAAGGAGATATTCTTTCACTATAGTGAATTTAAAGGTGACCTAGAAGCCTTACAGCCTGGTGATGATGTGGAGTTTACAATCAAAGACAGAAATGTAAGACGAAATCCAGTAAAACCTGAAGACAAGATCCTAGGGCATAACTGGACAACTGTTTTCTCAAATTCACTTGTAAAAGGAAGGGGGGAGGAGGTTCATTGGAAAATGTCTGCTACCTTACCTCTTCTCTATGGGTATTTAACTGATTTTGTGCTTTTAGGGTAAAGAAGTTGCAACAGATGTTAGACTGCTTCCTCAAGGAACTGTCATTTTTGAAGATATCAGCATTGAACACTTTGAAGGAACTGTAACCAAAGTAATTCCAAAAGTACCCAGCAAAAACCAGGTGAATTTCAGTATTTACTTTACGTGAAATGTTGTATTGATTGTATTGAATTCCAGTCAAGTGTTAAAAATGTTCCCTTTTCCCTGTAACAGTCGTCTGCAGTGTGTAGTGTCACAGTAAGTGAAGTGTCACAGTAAAGGAGTAAGCTTGGGCTTAACCTGTAACAACTGTTGATAGCAGTCACAGTATACAATTCTTCTAAAGGTTATAAAGAACAAGAATTAGGGTAGCAGTAACATTGGGGAATATGTGTTTTTTATTTTCAAATACTTCCCGTTGAATTTTGTGGGTTTAGGGTGTATCTTTAAGGCACAAGCTTAGGGAAAAGGGCAGAAAATATTTGCTGGAATAAGCCTGATCTATGGATTCCTGTGAGCGTTAACAAATAATGAGGTTTTTCTCAGAGAGATAACTTGACCTTTAATGTTTGGCTTTAGAGTGTAGACAGCATGGTTTTAGGTGAGTCTGTGTTGTTTTGGGAAGGTTTGGGGTGGAGTTTTTTGTGTGCTTTGAATGCTTAATAAGAAAGACATTGCCTTTCAGAAGTGTTCTAAGTATGGTTATAAATTTGATTCTTGATAGAGTTTTAATTTCTTTGGCAATACATACTTGGTTGGGTTTTTGTGTTTTAAAGCACCACCACCACCACAAACTACCTTGCATTTGGCTATGGACAGTAAATGACAAATTAGGAGTGGTGGAAATGAAGCATAAGGAGTCTGAGCCTGGCAGGCACTTGGTGCCATCCATACTTCTGTTACCACTAGTGTTTCTGAGAACTGTTCTGTCTGCAGTTACACTGAGTCTTGTAGTTCCTGCAACTAACTTTTTTTTTTTCCTGTTGGGTTTTGTGTCTGCTAGAGTGATCCGTTACCTGGCCGCATCAAAGTTGACTTTGTGATTCCTAAAGAACTTCCATTTGGAGACAAAGATACAAAATCCAAGGTGACCTTACTGGAAAGTGACCACGTTCGATTCAATATTTCAACAGACAGACGTGACAAACTGGAACGAGCCACCAATATTGAGGTTCTCCCCAATACGTTCCAGTTTACTAATGAAACTAGGGAAATGGCAAGTATCTATCTTTTAAGAGTTTTCATTCTTGAGGGGAAATGAAAATAAAATACGGAGGCTTTGTCTTTAATGATAATGTTATGTAAAAATCACTAGTGTCGTCTTCCATTGTCTTTTCTGAAATCCAGTCCTCAGATATAAGCACTTTGAAGTGTATATGGCATAAAATTCAGAATTAATAACTGTGCATCTTTCCTTTAAAAGAACAAAAAGTTAACTACTAGATAAATGAAATAATACTAGAAAATTAGACCTTAATTTGCCTTCTTGCATTGGTAGCTGGTTATAGCAGCCAGAGAAGTAATGCAGTCTTGAACTATCGCTTTAAAAATTCACACGCATGAGTCTAAACAGGTAACTACTCATGTTCCTTAGGAAAATTGGAAGAACCTGGGGGTACTCTGGTTCAGATAAGATTCAGAGGAGGTACTAAGACTTTTCACTGTGTGCAGCTTTTGGATTTCATGGTTTTTGGCTAATCCCTCTCTGCATCCAGCAGAAGGATAATAGAGATGTGTTCTATCACATACTGAAAAGTCTTTGTGGAATACAGGGACTAAGGTGGATGTGCTCCTCAGTATTAAAGAATATGTTTCATTCCTGTAATTTGGAATGTTGGTTCTGTTCCAGCTAGACTCTAAGTTCGCCTTCTTTTTCAATTGGCGTCCAATTACAGTGCTGTCACATCAGTATGCTGTGAATTAGGGACCCTTTGCTTTAAGAAAACCGCTGAACTTTGTCAGCCTCTCAGTCTTTGGAATTCTATCCTACAGACTACTCTGGCTAGATAATATTTGCCCACCTGAATTGACCTGTCATTGAGGTAGCAGGTATTGGCCGCTTCTGGAAATGTTAGCTGATTTTCCTGAGCTTGTAAAAGCTATATAAGAGAAGAACATTCCTAAAGGTGGAAAGTATCTTTGCATTGTCATTCAAATGCCATAAGCCTTCCCTGAGACTTGCTAAAGGCTCCCTAGTACCTGGTTGAACAGAATATGTTCATGAATTCTATCTCACTCAATACCTCTGGCACGATTTGGTACTAGTTCTTCCTAACTTGAGTAATGAACTCTTTCAGCAAGTTTATGGGGCTTGTTTTGTTTTTTAACATGGGGCAGGGTGAGAAATGGATTTTTTGAAAGTTGATGGGGCACAGTATATTCTGTTTGTCATTCAGCATTCCGTTTGTAGTGGTTACCAGGAAGGCAGCTAAAATACTACATGCTTACCATAATATACATGCATGGATGCGATAGTCTTAACAAGCTGCTTTGTAAGAAAGCTTTTTGATTCCTTCATTTGTGTCTGGAAATCAGATGGTTTTTTCTCTTAAACTTCCCTCTGACCGGTGGTTTTATTTCCCTTTTATGTAGGTTCTTGTACGTTTTGTGTGTGTGCTTATGTATTATGAGCTTGTATAGATGATGCATGCATCTGTAAAGTCACCCCCTTCAAGATCGTGTTCTCTGTGTAGTAGTAACGTCAGGTTCTTTAACTGCAGTCCCTGTTGTTAATGGCTTAGATGAATCTTTCCAAAATTGAAATTGAGAAACGAAGTACGTACAACTTGTTTGCATTTCAGGCTGACCGTAGCCTTTAGCACTGCAGTTTGCAAGGCAGCACATTGCATAAACCAAGAAGTGTTTTCACAGGATTCAGGGCTTGTGTTCAGATTATTACATACTCTGCAGACAGATGTCGCGTACTAGCAGTAAAACCGTAATTGTCCGTTTGACTATTCTCAGGGTGTGATTGCAGCAATGAGAGATGGCTTTGGCTTCATTAAATGTGTGGATCGGGATGCTCGCATGTTCTTTCACTTCAGTGAAATTATGGATGGAAATCAACTCCATATTTCTGATGAAGTAGAGTTTACTGTTGTTCCTGTAAGTAAGATTAATATTTTTATGAAATCTTTAGTTTTTAAAGAAATTGCGTGCAGTCTGTCTAAAATCTGATTGATTTTGTTTTTCAGGATATGTTGTCTGCCCAAAGAAATCATGCTATAAGGATTAAAAAACTTCCTAAGGGCACGGTTTCTTTCCACACCCAATCAGATCACCGTTTTGTGGGCACTATAGACAAAGAAGCTACTCCAGCCAAAGCCACTAGCCCAAATAAAGGCAAAGAGAAGGTAATGCTGCTCTTCTACTTGTGAACTACCTGTTCTGTGTTCCTGGCTTCAGAGACTAAGGCAGCTTCTTTAAAATCTGTAATTCAACTTTTTGAAGCATTGTTTTTCCTGTATAAATGTGAACTACATTGAATAGCTAATGACAGCAGTCAGCAAAAACTGTGTGAAACAAGATAGTAAAAGCATCGTTAACGATCATGTTGTTGAGGATAATTTCCAAGAACTTGATGGGAAATTTCTTCCTACCTCCTACTACGTAAGATGCTAGATAGAATTGGTTAAAACTAAATTTCTACAGCTAGAGGAGAAACCTTTATTGTTTGTCATGCTGTTCTAAACAATGCCAGAATAGTTAAACTTCCAGTAAATACTTGCTGGAAATGGTGGTAATTCTTTCCTTTAAAAATACTGCCTAGTATAATTGAAAGCTTCTTACTCAGAGTTGATGGCTCTGTGTTTTTCACCAGTTACTGAGCAGTTTGTAAACTTGTTTGCTTACAAATAAGATGCTGACTGCTGATTTCTGATGTCTTCTTTTTAGGAAGCTGAAGATGGAGTGATTGTTTATGATGACTGTGGAGTAAAACTGACCATTCCTTACCAGGCCAAGGATGTGGAAGGATCTGCTAATCCCCAGATAGGAGATAAGGCAATATAACTTAGTATACCATTGGGAAATATTTTTCTGTGCATTGAGATAGAAGCTTCTTTTTGCCTAGTTAGTGGATTTGTTCTCCCTCTCAGAACAAATAAAGGTCAAGACATCTGCATGGTGTCACCCATTTCTTCTGTCCTAGGTTTGAGTGGCTTAATCTTCTGTATAGCTAAGAAAAATATCCTAAATCCTGGTGATACATATATGAAAAAGTGTCTTAGTATGTAAATGATGTTTTTTTAAACAAGGAATTCTTATCATTAAGACAGTGGATTCTGCTTGTGAATAATCAAGAGGAAATTAACGTAAAGACTTTGAGATGAATGTTGAAGTGGGAGAACATACCCTTATGAGCAAATTAGCCTGAGTGGCAGTGGAAAGGGAGAAAGAGCTCAGAGATCAGGAAGAGCAGCGTAAAAGCTGTCAGTGTTCAGGAGCCATGCTAGGAAGGCACTGATTACTGTTTTTAAAAATCTGAAACAAGTTAGCAAAGCTAGGTACCTGCTCACTGGGCCACTGGTGAGAAGTGTAGTGAAAGGAGGCGAATCACGTGAACAGAGTCTCGTCTTGAACGGGCAAAAAGCCGAGTGCTGGAGGCTGGCTTGCTGGTCGCTGGTGTGACTGCTAGTCTTTGGAATGTAGTAAATGTCAATGAATGACAGATGTTTCTGGGAGAGTAATGGCTAGAAAATTACTTTCCTGGAAAGCCTAGATAGCGATTGCAGATGCACAGCTTGGAAACGAGTTTTTTCAGGGTTTTTGTGGCCGTGGTTTGTTTGGGTGCTTTCTATCTAGTATTGATATATGCTCCTCTTCAACAGGTTGAGTTCAGTGTTTGTGAAGTGAAGAGAACTGGCCTGCAAACAGCTGTTTCTGTCAGAATGCTAGGACGTAATTACAGCTCTAAGAGGCTTTTGGGATATGTGGCAGCCCTGAAAGATAACTTTGGATTTATTGAAACAGCCAATCATGATAAGGAGATCTTTTTCCACTACAGGTGAATGACAATTTTTTTTTTAATAATTATTATTTTGGTTGTTTGTGTGTTCGTTTGGGGGGAGGAGTTTGGTAGGGTTGGCTGTTTAAACCCACTTGGACTTCACACATATCATACATATGCTTAGGTGTCTCAAGTTCCATTTATTGTCTCTGCTGGACTGGTTCAGACTCTTTTGTTAGTCAGGGGTCTTTGTGTTCTGTGCCTCTGAATCCCAGTCCAAGAAGTACCATTGTATTGTATATTTGAAATGCTTCACTTTCTTGAAAATGTGAGGTGCTGAGCTAGTTAAATGGTTTCTGATTAACTTATGTAAATATTGGATGAGCATTGCTGTTATGTAACTAAAGGAAAATTGTACATAATTCTATTCCTGTAGTGAATACTGTGGTGACATTGATAGCCTGGAACTTGGAGACACCGTTGAATACAGCTTGTCAAAAGGCAAAGGAAACAAAGTTAGTGCAGAAAAGGTGAACAAAACACATGCAGGTAAGACTGTACCTGGTATTTTCTGCTTACGAGGCTCCTGGCAGGTGCTGATGGATAAAGTTCGTTAATAATCTATTTACAGTTGGAGCTTAGACCAAGAGGATGATGCTTAATGTGGTGGTCATTGGTTTCCTGAAAGCTGTTGCCTGTGTTTCCAGAGAACAGACAAGCAGACTAACAGTCCTGTAGACAGTAGCAACTCTTTGGACCTTTGCTGTACTCTGTCCTCTTCCATTGGAGGGTTGTAAGGAGAGACCTAGTGGCAGAACTAGCCAAATTAGTAGTTGCAGTAATATTTTTCTACTTCTGTGTTCGAAGTGTCAGTGTGGTCTTGTTTAGAAAAGCTGTCATTACTTATTGCTGTGTTAAAGCTGTTCCAGTTTTACTGGGTGATAGAGTGCACTGCTTTAGGTGTCTCATAGCGCAGCCTATTGGCTCCTGGTCAGTCTGAATCACTTAAAAAGGATTATTAAAATAAGGTATGACTAGAGCGTTCTGTTCTTGTACTGTTTCTTTTCAGTGAATGGTATCACTGAAGAAGCTGATCCAACTGTTTACTCTGGTAAAGTAATTCGTCCTTTGAGGAGTGTAGATCCTACACAAACTGAATACCAGGGCATGATCGAAGTCATGGAGGATGGTAAGATTTGTTGCTTTTAAATTATAAGTCTTGTGCGTACGCACAAGAAGTGTAGAAGTTTAATAAACTGTAGAGGCGTTAAAGATTATATTCACGCTACATTCGTACTACTGAGCTGACAGTAAAGGTATAATTTCTGATACTGGAAGTAAATTCTAAATGCCCTCAGGTAGGAAAGAACGCCTCTCAAGTCTGTCTTGTACTCTTCCCTCCTGTAGGTGAGATGAAAGGAGAGGTCTATCCGTTTGGAATTGTTGGAATGGCAAACAAAGGTGACTGTCTGCAAAAGGGAGAGACTGTAAAGTTTCAGCTCTGTGTTCTTGGTCAAAATGGGCAGACAATGGCTGTTAACATCACACCGTTCCGCAGAGCCACGGTGGAATGCGTGAAGGATCAGGTGAGTGACTGCTGCTGTGAAGACGAGATGTGTGCTAATAGGAAATGTCTGCTTGATTTGGCATAGAGCAGGTGAGAACTCACTTCAGCTTTTGAATCCAGGAAACTTGCTGTGCACAAATGGATTGCTTTGTACTCTGGTTTTGGGGAAGTAGATTTGTGTAACCCAAGCACTGGTTTATGAAGAACGTGTGACGTGACCTTTAGTGAAGGCGAACTCGGTACTTGGTTTGGTGCTGATACTTCATTCTACTGGGCAGCGGTTCCTGCTGTGGCTGATTCTGAAGACCTGTTTTTGAGATGTTCTGGAAACTGGTCCAACTAGTTTCTGCTGAACAGGGCATTTAAAAAGAAACAAAACCGCATGTACTCTGCTTCTAGAAGAAGCTTCTTTGCAGCATTAAGCGGTCAATGATTACAGTCCACCAGAAATGCAAAGGCTGATCATTGCTCTAGTTGCATCTCAGAATGATTAGAAAATTAAGTGCTGTGAATGCTTTCTACTTTGATAGTTATTCTGCAGCACTAAGCTCTAGTCACTTACAGAGGGGCTAGATGAATCTTGTGGGTTTATACACGAGTAGAACAGTAAATGGAAGTAACTGACTTCTTACACCAGTGACAGACCAAAAAAATGGAGTGGTTTCTACTGTGTAACTGTTAAGGTGGAGTCCTAGAAAAGAACATGCAGCATTGCTGCTCTTAGCTTAATACAACTACCAGGACTTTATAGAACAAGTTCCGAAAACTGCTATAGACTTTAGGTTTTAATTGTGACTGCAAACCTGAGAAGAGTGCTTAGACTTCCAGAAGTATTGTTTCCAGACAGAATGTTCTTTTCAGTGTAAAAGTGCATTTCCACTTCCATTAGGCACTTCAGAGTGTAGGTTTTTTCCTAGAAGTAGTTAAATGGCAATAATGAGTCATCTGTTTTGATCAAGAGGAAAGAAATAATTCTGTGTTTGGTTTTCAGTTTGGTTTCATTAACTATGAAGTGGGTGACAGCAAAAAGCTCTTCTTCCATGTCAAAGAAGTTCAGGATGGCGTGGAGCTACAGGCTGGGGATGAAGTGGAGTTCTCAGTAATCCTGAACCAGCGCACAGGAAAATGCAGTGCCTGTAACGTGTGGCGTGTCTGGTGAGGATTTACAACTTAATCTGGCACACTGTCTGCGTCACGGTAGTGGAACGCATGCTGCTTTTAAACTGAGCTAGCTGTTCCTAGAGTGGGAGCTCTGAATTTCAGCTGGCTTCAGTTAGAGCCTCTCACCTGAGAACTGCTGGCCCTTGTAGGGGGTCCAGTACAGTGCAGCAGCAGAACTCTCAGCTTTTCTTAATTACAGGTAGCTTGTTCTTTTTTTTTTTTAAGCTATTCTTAAGGAGGTCTCCCCATAGCAGGAACATGGATACAGCCTTCTAAGTAGAAATTAATTATAAGAAAACTGATGGTATTTTTGATGTAGTTGCTGGCCTCTCTAGTCAGCAATAACCTGTTTCCTGAAGAGCAATTTTCATTTTTTAAATAGAAAAATGATGTTGTTAGGTACTCTCTTCTTTTTGGCTTGTGATTCCTTAAGGGTGATGGGTCTTTCTTTTTTGCTCTTGAGCTACTTACACATTTTGAAGAAATCTGCAGAATTTGGATTTTGCCTAAGCTTGAGAGAGCTTCCTGTGGCTGTAGAAGTGCTAACATTCAGTTTCTCCTCTCAAAATTCTCTTCTCTGAAGATGAGATGTTAATGCTATGCCATTACTCACTGGCAACTCGTAAGCCTTTCATTGTTCCAGTTAAAGGGAACAAATGTAGGAAATACTCCTTAGTGTGCACGAGAGCGAATGCAACACCTCTACTCACTAAAGAATACCTTTTTGAGAATACTGTTTTGAGCTACTGTTTCAGAGTCCTGTGTTTAATGGTTTTGAGGCAGACATACATGGTGTCATCCAGAAAGTCTGCTTTCGCACAAGACGTTAGAGTGACTGTAATCTGGGAGTGACTATAAATTAGGTGGCTTACACCATCTCTGGGAAGTCACTGGTGCTCTCTGGTTAACTCTGTTACAGTGAAGGCGCTAAGGCTGTTGCTGCTCCACGTCCTGATAGACTTGTTAATCGTTTAAAGAGCATTAATCTGGATGATGCCAATGCTCCTCGTCTAACAGTTCTTCGTCAGCCTAGGGGACCGGATAACTCAAAGGTATGTGAGAGAAAAGGCTAGTGTGCAGAAAAACTGCAGTTTGTGTTTTAGCTTGGATAACGTAACATTGCTTCCTCTGTTGGAAGCCTAAAGTGTTTGAAATGTGGTGTCCGCTTTCATTCCGGAGTGAACTAGTCACCTGTTGTGTGAGATTATATTATCTTTGTGCAAAGTCAGGGGCGCTATACCCTGTGTCATTAACGTATGCTGTGGTTTCAGAAGAGCACACAGTATAGAAGTGACTGATTGCTGCTTGTGTTCTAGCCCATAATGGCTATCTTGGTTTGGTTTTTGTTTTATAAACCTCCTGCTTCCCTTCTCGGAGATAGCAAGTGAAATCCCTTTATCTAAACTTGGCTTTCACATAAGGTTCTGCCACCACTTGATAAGCAGGAGGAGTAAAGTGTCTGGAATCTGTGAAGTATCTGGGACTATAAAGGACCCACAGAACCTGTTTTGTTACTGTCTCTGTTTCTGAAGACAAACGTGGCTAATCAGAAACGTGTTCATGCTGTACGTGGTTAGTACAGAACAGCTTTGCTTTAAAGCATGATGCTGGAGCTAAAACTTTGTTTTGGTTTTCCTTGCAGGGATTTGGTGCAGAGAGAAAGATCCGTCAAGCTGGTGTTATAGACTGATCCACAAAACCCATACCTGATGTACGACTGAGTGGTGGGGGCTGGTGAAGGGTACTGAATATCTCCCTATTCATCCCTTCCTCCAAATTCTAAGAAGCTATTACACCGGTTTTAACACCTTCTCATGTTATGTTTAAAATAAATTCATGAAACCATTTTAAAATTATGCACAGTTGCATTCTGGAGAACTTAAGGTGGCGCCTTATAGTATCACATTTTAGAAGCTTGTTTTGAATGGTGCATTTAACGCAACTGGTAACTGCAAATCTACATTGCCTATGTGAGTAAACATTATAGACAGCTCTACTCTGGTAGACCTTATGGAATTCTGCACTACAACTATCTATGCTTTATCTTTGTTATTTTGGCTGAGGTATTACTATGCCTTAGTGCTCAGTTGCAATGTCTTTCCTTCCAAGTGGAAGCAGAAGGCTCACTTCAGCTCACTCCGCTCGAGTTCTGAGGACCATGTGAAGGTGGTGTAAGTTCAACTTGATATAAAAATCTGTATGAGCGTTCAGATAACTTAAGTTGATGGCCAGATGTTACAATGTTTTCATATTTCATTTGAGTCCTTTAGCCAGCAAAGTTGTTAGAGCTCAATGAAAGTCTCTTTCCAGGGTAGACTTATTTTTGTAGCGTTCGGAAACACATGCAGTGCAGAATTTCATAAGGCTGAGGTGTGCCATCAGTGTGGTAATTTAAATATATTTAAAACAATGCACAAATCTGCTGCTGCTTAGAACACTGCAGCTTCTAAACCCAGTTTCTTTTACTGATTTAAATTTAAAAAGAAAGAAGTTGTGCCTGAAGTGAATACTTTTTTTTTTTTCTTTTTTTGCAGCCGGCACCCAGTGTACTGTAAAAGAATAAATACTTAGGCTTTCCATAGCTGTATTGAGACTTTCATCAAGGTGAAATAGTTGATGTCTGTGTGCTTTTTTTTTTCCCCTCCCCCTGCCCCCCCTCCATTTC